GTCAGAAACGTTTAACTTCTTAATTACTATGTTTTATGTAACTTGAATCATATCACTGAAAATTGTACATACATAATAATACACGTAATATATTATATTTAAGAGGAGTCAAAGAGATAAAAAATTTTTCGATAAATTTTCAAACCTCTGTTATAATTTAATAATTATATAATACATCAATTTGTCAACGTCAATTTTTTTTATTAGATTCAATTAAATTTGTCATATTTGATTCTATCGATGATCAATAACATAGATTTCATTATTTGACGTTGATAATATCATTGTGAATTGATAATACTTGACTGGACTAAGCAATGTTTCAATTATCATCTGTTGGCAATTGTGACTTCTTAACACAAACATTCATTTAACAATAAGCCTATTCTTATTTTTTATCAATAAATATTTTGATGTTTGAAATTTTCTACTTTTTACAAATATATATATTGCACCATAAATAAAATTGCGAAGCAATCTAACGGGTTTCATGAATGGCTTTTGTCTTGCGTTCATAATACTGACGTGACGCAGCACATAGATATGAAGAAAAAAAAGTATTTTTTAAAACGTAGATTATTCAGAAACGCGTCTGTGAATAGTATTACGGCCATTGTTTTCGTATGTTTTTTTATGGAATGTGTACACTGTAAATCATAGTCGCCAATGCTTGGAGAAGTGTAGGTAGAATGTATTGATTTCCGATTTCTGTTACACGTATATTGTTAGAGGATAATATTTCAGCAAGTTCGAGTCGTTTGTAAAACTATTTCCGACGTACAATAAAATAATACACGTCCAACTGTTACATTGAACGTGATTTTAATCGCTTCTTGTACGGCGAGATAGGCGCGCAAAACCACAAAATCCGCAAAATTCCTTTCGTACTTATTAATTATTGTGCGATAAGACGCGAATTTGTTAAACTATATTTTTCTAAAGATTTAAAAGTATATGAACACGAGAAAATAATATTTTCTCATTTATTAAATTTGTGTTAACTTAATTATCATGGGAACAATTCCGAGAGATGTACTGTTAGTTGTTAGTGCGAAGTTTGTTACCGTCAGAACATATATTTATCTAGCGTTACAATTAATAATTAATGTGCTGATGCTCGCAGTTGCTGAAAGTTTCGTTCATTAAACTAGCGAAATTAATTTCGTCAGCGGTTTGCAAGACGTTAATTAATAGGTAATATTATAGTATTGTTACAATACTCAAATACTTCGTCGTTAATATTACAAATGTTTTTCGTTACTCGGAAGTTTACGTAAAGTGATAATTATTTTTCTTGCACAATGCTTATTAGAACATTGATAATATGATTTGATGAAATTTATAATGAGAAATTTGTACATTATTTTAAACGTTATTAATTTACATTACGATATGAATCAAGACTTAATAAAAATACAGAACAAGTATGTCATTTTGTTATAATTACGCAAAAATCAATGTATTTCACATTCATAAATATTTAAAAGTAGAGTACACCTCTTATATAAATTTAATATCGAGAGTAATCAATTCTTTATTTTGAGATTAAAAGCACACTGTTGTTCAAAATAAATAATTTGTAGTATATATTAACTTGGCTTTTAATACTTAAAATGAGTAATTTGCAGTAAAATTGGATTTCTGAAAGGACGATAAAACAGTGAATCCCTGCTCGCCTCTCGGTTTGTTCAAGGTCGATCCTGAGTAGATACGCATTTTCCCACTGGTGGAGGGTCAAGGACAAATTAATGGGGATTGATAACGATCTCCTTCCAACGTATATCCAACTTTTTATAACTCGTATCCCTTGTCTCGACAGGCATAAATGTAATACTGGCCGATTTATTACTGAAAGATAGTAATTAATTATTTATTTGAAATATTAAAAATACTATTTAACAGTAGTCTTTTAATATTTAAAATAAGTAGATAATTATGCTGTCTTTTAATATTGGCCAGTATTAGACTTCTGTAAATGTATTCATAGAACCATATAGATATTTAAATAAATATATTGCGAGCTATTCTAAATTGTATAGTCTGAGCATGTATAGTATTACATAACCCTCTCGCGTGTTTGCGCTGTGAGTTCTTTTCGCTATGCATACCAAGAAAAAGATTATTTTTCCTGTTTATGAACAAGAGATCATTTTCTATTGTATGTTCATATTATATGGAGAATTCGTTTAAAAGATTAAATCGTAAATTCAAAACATGCTGCATTAAAATCTAACTTCAAATTTTAAGTTGGAAAACTGTCGCGTATTTTACGAGATTATTAAATTACTAAATTATTTTTAATACTTCAAGCGCGTTGCTTCAACCGCAGAATTCTTGTTCTTACCTGTTCGTCATCTAACCCATTTTGTCGATAATTATGTCAATGTTGCTTTTCTGTACTATCAAATAAAAAAAAATACTTTACGTCTATATCCTAAATTTCGTGTTCATTAAAGTATAACATATTATTGCAATGTACAGCTTTAATTATGTTACTGATTTCACACATATGCTTTATAATAAAACATACTTTAATTCTTCTCAATTTTTATGAATATTTGTGGTTTTGCTGAATATTTTGTTTTAGAGGATAAAATGTCTTCTTCTCTTTCTTCCCTTTAGATACTTTGTTTTGAAATATTAATAGTTAATACATATACACCTTTTATCTTCCATTTTCATCTGCGTTTCTGAAATGACTTTGTTGAGCTTTTGACTGCGATATTTTATTTATCATTAATATAGAATTTCACAATGAAGCTATTTTTCCAAGCATAATATGAAAGTTTGTTTGTGGCTGTATTTGACATCAAAAGTTAAAACAGTTTATCAACTGTATTACGCTTTAGCGGTACAAATATAGCTTTTAATAATGTATTTTTGCTTTATCTACCATTTCTACAGAGGAAATATAAACATAATAAAGTAATACCTTTACAGTGCTTCACTCAGCATGCATTTAGTAAAGCTATGTCGAGGTATATATAAATATTAATTTATTTCAAATTTGTTGTCTTACGTTTGCATAAATGATTATTTCCGCATCAAATAAAAAAACTTTAATATATAAAAAAATTTATTATATAAAAAAGCTATTACACGTAAAAAAAATTTTAACGTAATCATAACTCTAAGAATATCAATCATAGTTGAGCGTTTTAAGACGCAAGACCAAAATTTTTTAATACGATTAGTTTTGCCCTTCGTTTTTCTCATTGAATATAACTGTATAAACCAATCGTATTAACACAGGTGCAATAATCCTTAAGCCGTAAGAAATGTCGACGTGGGAAGAATAATCGACTATGATTGTGGTCCATTTCTTAAATCATTCATAGTCGGTTCTTATATTTAAGATTATAAGATCATAAGTCTTAAGATGTCATGAACCAATCACAGAGCCGTATTAGTATCTTAAGATATTACTTGAGGTAGTCTTGAAATAAGACCGATTATGAATGGCTTACCACTTTTATTGTGTTTCGGGACTTTACCCGTTTCTACCCCCCAATATATCCAATTCAATTAATTCTTCATTTTATTCTAGTTCTAAGAATTACAAGATGAAGAATAAGTTGAAATGAGATTGAAGTTAACTTTCATTAGTTAATTGTTAGAAATGGACATAAGTTTTTCCATGTGCCATAACCTTTATAAGGTGATCATAAAGTCGTCTATTTTATCGACTAAATGCGATTATTCCTCTTCTAAGTATTTTTTTAATCGCCTGGTGTCGATTCGTCATAATATTTGTTTTAGATACAATAACAAGCTTTATGCTTTGTTCATATAAAACAGTTTTAATTTGGACTTACAGATATTATATGAACAAACAATATTGAGTTTTTAGTATTAAAAATTTAAATATCTAATATAAAATATTGATAGCTGAGAAAATTTGTGGGTATGTCGCGTGCAAAATATTCATGCAATGTGTAGTGATATGATGACACGCAAATCATATACATACGTGTAAAGTCCTATAATTAAATCAGTAAACAACAATCACGTCGAAGACGTTGAAGTTCAGTTTTCACTCAAGATCCCTTCGAGGAAGCGACATTGCTCGCTGAAAGCTCAAGACAAAATATTTCCAAATAACGAAATCATCGTTAACAGCTGATCGGCACGATAATAGCGAGTGCCGGTGCGATCGTGACTTCCTCGTGCTGCCGCGCGATATCCGGGGATGTCCGGGGATTCTGGAATATTTAATAAATCGACCCCCGCACCGCGCACGCACGCACGCACGTATACATGCGCCTACGCGTGAGATGACACGTCGGGCACGGTAGCGCGCCGCCAAAAATTCAATCCGGCACATCGCCACGCCGCTGTGTGTATCAACATTGAAAAATCAATGGTAACCCGTGACGTAGGTGTCCCGCCTCAACAACAGCCAATGGATGCGCTCGCTCGTCCCTACCACTCTCGCTGTGACTCGCGAGAGACCCTCGGTTTATCCACGCGCAGACCGGCGTGCTTATTCCGTAGCGGACTGCCGCATCGTACGGACGTGAGTCGAAGAAACGAATTGCCGAAACAGGCGATACGCCAGCTGTAGCCAAACGGAAAAAGCATAAAAAACGCACGCATATCGAGCATATCGCGAACGCACTTGTGCGAGCGCGACGTGTATGAAGTTTTCCAGTTCGGTCTGCCGGACGTAGCCGATCATCGTCAACATCGACAGCGGGAATCGACATCGATCGCGATTGATCGCGAAGCGGAATTCTTCGGAGACGAAAATTCTTAGCGAGAATTCGCAGACAAGACCCATCCGTAGGAGTTACTGACGCGCCAGTGTAAACAGATTGGTCTTTTCTCTCACTCGCTCTTGCGTGCTGCGAGCTGTGCGAGGTGTCAAACTTTCTAAGAGTATTCTACAAAAGCGGTAGAGAGAGAGAGAGAGAGAAAGAGAGATTGAAAGACGTAAAAAGGGTAACGGACGAACCGGGCCGTCGGTGTGAAACGGAGATCAGATAATAAAAGTCTACGAGATGGCGTTTATGATGCCTGTGGTGAAAAACGAATGGGACATTTACAAGACTAATAGGAGTCGACGATCGTCCGAGTGCTCGAATCCGCAGGCCTGTCGCAGCCGAAAGGTGAGTGGGATGATGTTTATTTACTTTATACGGTGCGGCGTTCTTTTTATTTCAAATGGGCTTCGAGTGACTGAACGCTCTTCTGACGTGAGAGTGGCAGATGGAAAATTGCCGGAACCGTTAAGACGCGCATATGTCTTCATTATTCGCGTTTGAATTTCCCTGCCTTTATTTGCGATACGAATTAGAAATACAAATCGAAATTCATATTAAATAAGACAGTGGATAGCACTGAGAAGAAAGTATTACGCGTTTGTGATTATAATTCATGGTAAACAATATAATTATGACTGCTGTAATATCAATAATAATTATAATATTTAGAGTTTTACTAAAATTTATATATCTGGCATCGAAAATGATCACATAAATTGTAGTAAAAACATGATAATTGTTTCTTGATCTCTTTAGAGTGACGAATATTAAAATCTTAAAAATGTCTATCGTTTCATGAAGCGCTAATTGAAAAAAACGTTGCACCGAATATTTAAAAAATAGTCTGATAATGTGCATTATTGGCAATATATTTAAAACATAAAGATTCTTCGAGACAATTGATATAACTTTAATGTCATACGTATATAATAAAAAAAGTAACGTATATGGCACTAAATAAAGAGAGCGAAAGAAATTTGTACCGTAATGTACTTTTTTAGTATCATACGAAAGTGGGAGTTCTCTTCGTTTGTATTGCATACCGTTGTATAATATGGCGATATTTGTCGCCAAAAAAAAGTCGAGTATTGATAAACATTAGTCTTCGTGCGTGATTGTTTCAACGTGTCCGTTGTCGTAAAATGTCGAAAGCTTTTCGAGACAGTTTCGATTTGTAAGACACTATAGTGAATCACGATATAGTGAATTGAACGAATTCGGATGGATTAGACGATTCAGTTTACATCGACGGCGCCAGTGTCGTAACTGCGCATCTTTATTGTTATGTGGATTTTTTTCTTTTTAGATCATTAATCGCTTATCGACAGTAATATATGAGAAAAATAAATTTTGCAAGACAAGTAACTTTTTTTTTTTGATAGTTTACACGTCGAGATACCTATCGTTTACAAAATTGCAAAAAGGCTTAACAATGGCGCCAGCCGGTCTTGATGCGTCATTCGCGCATTTAGTTATATCGCATGTATTATTAACCCGAAACCGCCGACACGGAGAATGAAATACGCGTTTAAGGAAAATCGTTATGCGCATACTTTCGCCGGCGTATCTTGTGCACGGTTTTTGGGATTATTTTTACGGGTCCTCGTTTCGCCGCAGAAAGAATTGCGGCGCAACGAATAGACAACGTGCGAGAAACCGAGAAAGAATGCCCCGCCACTGCACAAGTGCGATTTTTTCGCAGGTCTGGCGAACCGGCAGACACAGCCGTCTTGCGAAGTGCGGCGGGTCCGATCGTCCTCCCGTCTCGGTTCTCATGGTAATCGGCCATCCTGGCTTTACGCGGCGTGTCGTTTCGTTTTTCCAGCCTGCCCGAGGCGTTTATTTTGAAAACAGATTTTGTTGTATAAGATGACTTGTTAGAGACGAAGTGAGAGTAGATATTGATGAGAAAGCTGTGTCAAGCAGCTACTACTGTCAAATTTGTCAACCTTTTCGAAATAAACGCCTCGCTTAACTCCCATAGTTTCAGGAAATATCGATTAATTCGCATTAAGAGTATCTGCAGGAATAAATACTATTAATTAAAAGAAGTAATTTGGAAAGATGTATTATATATAAATATATTATTAACGCATTCTTATCTGTTTGTATAATATAAATACAGTATCGATTTTCTTGAAGCTATATAAGAGCTAATGCGATTTAAGTTTGCTATTTTTTTGGTTGTCCCTGTAAAATATCCTGCTTATGTAATTATGTTATTTATGTAACGTTGTGTAATTTCATTGTAATTGTGTACACATAACGCAAATACGATTATGGAAATGTTGCGATCTTAAATTAACAGCAGAAATACATTTTATTTAAAAGTATGAATTTTTCTTGGAATAGTTCAGAATGACTTAACAAAATATTTAATATAATTGGATTTCGATTCTAGTCATTAAAATAAATGTAAACGAAATAATTAAGATTTTATGATAAATCTGAACTTTTTTTCTAAATAATTAAATTCAAATTCACCAGTGAAGACACGTACTGCTTTAATCTGTTTATCACAAAGTTGTATAGTCCTTTCAAATTTGTCTCACTAACTATTGCTTTTGTGTTATGTATGTATTACAGTTTTTACATGTCTTTTGTGTACATTTTTAAATATAAATTCTTCAAATACAAAAAATTCTTTTCACATGGAAAAATCGGTAGAGAAATATTCCAGATTGCGTGATACACGCGTGTCTAAAATTTTGTTAATGTGATATTAATTTGATTTTAATGAAAGAAGAAAAAAAACTTCCATCTCTATCCGTCCGTGATATTTTATTCGTGAACTTGTTACGGAGTTTTCTTTTTTTTTTTTTTTTTAGTTTTTAATTTTTAGTTATTAAAAATTTTCCACCGAGCTTATATCAAAGACGAGTTATCTCTAGATTTGCCGTAAAAATTTTAACCGTGAGAAAGTTTGCCATTCATGCCGCAACAAGGGGAGTTTGATTGCTTCCTCTGAGCGTCAAGGACAGATCCAACTTTTTTTTTTTACGCGAGCGATTGACCGTGTTCGCAGCTCGCAACGTCGATCGTTCTCCTCGCGCCGGCGTTCGTCGATAAATAGCTCGGAAAAAGTCAGACCCTTTTTTTTTCCCGTGACATCGCTGCCGTAAAAGATCAACTCGCCGCACTCGGAACCGGTTTCTCCCTTGGCATCACTAAACGTTCGGCGAAATTGTATTTGCAGATGCTGAATAAGCACAGTCAATAATAGGTGACGATCGGAACCACGTGTCCCGGCGGATAAATACGCGCCGGCTAGAAGTTTATTTTTAACACAACGTAGGCAGTTATGCGCATAATGTTGTGAATTGCACGCGGTTTATTGCGCTCGTAAATGTTATCGCAAATGTCATATCGCCGATGGTATTGCGACTTTTGTATTTATTTCATTCTGTCATTTACATATGAAATAATTTTACAATAACAGACGATGTTAATTATAAATTAACAAGAGTTACATGGGATTGTCGTAATCATCATTAATGTACTCATAGATGTGTGACAAGTTTGGGCACAACATGATATAACACGTTTACTTACTACCGTATTTCCATAGTAAAGCGGTTTGTAAAAATGTCACTTATTATTCCGTCTTATTAAAATATTTTATAAAATCTTTAACGTTAAAAGCATCAACGTTTCTTATTCATTAAAAGGAGACGAAATAAATAAATTATTATGAAAACGAAAAAATAATAGGTAATAATAAACAACTAAGTATTTCAGTATAATTATAGAAAGTAAAAAAAATTCAAACTCCTATTTTTTTTATAGAAATATAATATTAATTAAAATATCATAAATTGTATGTGGTTTATTGCGGTCATGTTATCGCGAATGTCATATCGCCGGGGGCATTGCGACTTTTGTATTTATTTTATTTAATTATTTACATATGAAATAATTTTACGATAACAATGACGACAGCAATTATAAATTAATTCACGAGAGTTACATGAAAATATTATAATCATTAATGCACCAATAGATATGAGAAGTTCGGGCAGTGATAATAACATATTTACTTACCATTGTATTTCCATAATAAAGCGGTTTATACAAATGGTACTTATATTATTCCGTCTTACTCGAATATCTTATAGATCTTTAACTTTAAAAGTACTAACATTTCTTATTCGCTAAAAGAGAATGAATCTAATAAAAATGGAGAGAAGTAATAAAAAAACAAAATATTTTATTATAATTATTGAAAAGTGAAAAAGTTTCAGAATTTTACCTCTTTTACAGAAATATAATATATTAATCTAAAAAATATATACATCAATAATGACCACTCGGTATTTTTAGCATTAACGGACATACCTATCTTAGAGTTCTTTTTATGTTCAAAGTATGAGTAATTGAATACGAGAATGAATAAACGAGGCAAAATGCCAGGTATATTAATTATCATGATTTAACTATAAATCATTTCCTTTAGATAATTTTAAACAGATTTCACTTGTGGTGTAAAAATTTAAGACTAATATCGTAAATCAAAAGGTTGTGACATCATATAGTGATTATTTAATTCAGATCGGTGATTTAGACTTGTCAAATTATTTCTAACGGAAATATCCTCCTGTAGGTCTAGGACAATGTGTACAAAATACTATATCCGTACCACAATATTGCGCAAGCCTTGGTTTCGCAACCTATCGTGCGGTGAACTCTCATACGGATTCTCAATCGTTGAAAGTCGCTTATCTGTTTCATTCATTCTATAATTGCATCATTTGTAATAAAATGTAATAGTGTGTATATTTATCTATCGCGTATTTTAATCTCAATTAATTTTTCGAAAAATCGATTATCAAAGTTGATATGATAAAATTGGGATAAAAGTTGAATTTCATAAAATTATTTTCCTAAAATTATTCGCATATTTTACATAATTATGAATTATTTATTATGTTAGATTAAGCTAATTAGTGTATTTCGGAATTCATATGTAAATTTTTTTTGTAACTCACATAAAGCTTGCAGTAAGAAGCCATTATGATTTACTTTTAAACGAGTTCTTCAAGTTTTACGTTCACATTTGAATTACTGCGATCTGTTTTATGAAGTAATAATGATAATAGAAATTTGTTGTTACCTAATGTGTTGCATAATGTGTTAGTCGGATAAATTATTATTTTCTCATCAAATTTTTTTTTTATTTTTGATAATAATCTTTAAGATTAACATAAAAACAAATATAATCATCCTTTTTAAAAATCATAAACCTATACTTTTTTAAAAGTATGTATAATATAATAGTGATAATGTTACAAAATTAAAAGATTTGTCAAAAAGACTCCTCGCAAGAATGAGATAATTTCATAGCTCTTCAACCGTGAAGAGGCTGCTGCATTACGGGAATATTGCGGTTTTAACAGAAATGCGTGGTCGTGGCAAAAGTTATGCGCATGAAAAAGATATTCGCCAGGTACCAGACGACAAGGTGACATAACTGTTTCCATTTTGCATAAGCTAGCAATCTTCGGTTTCGTCCCGGATAATTTCGCGATGCCGTTTCTTGAACTTGGCCTGCTACACTTAAAGCAAGGATAGAGTACAAAAGAAGGTGATTTGATGGGAACGGCGCAAAAAGGATAATCGACAAGAAACGGAAACGCGATTGTGCGGATAGGTATCTTTGCTGCAACTCTCAATTTGGCTCTTTTATTCGTTTTTTCCTATTTGTATTTAACATTTTTAAATAAAGAAAGTCTAATAATTGCATGATTATTAAATCAAGATTATTTTGATTTTCACCATACAGATGTTATGTGTATCTGTATATAATAACGAATAAAATATTTAAAAATATTAAAAGATTTGATTTTTAAAATATTTAATTAAATATAGAAAAAATATATTCACACATAATAATTCGTTCTGTAATACATAATGAAGAATTAATTTCCGTCACGGGTAATGCGTTGTATCGTTATAAAAACGCGTGAACGGGATATTTTTAATCAACTCTTTGTCCTTCCATGCCGATATTTAGAGCCAATTTGAGCACGTGACACTGAAAGTTGCAAGTACGCAGTATGGTAGAGGTATGATTATTACTGCCAGAACATTAACGCAATCTCACGAGAAATCATTGTCAATTATATAACACGCAGCTGTTAGTTTGTGTATTGCACATTTTTTAACCTGTGCGACATGCATTATCATAATACGGTAGTATCGCTTAATTATAACATATTGTTTATTTTCGTGAAGCTTTTTTACTGTTCAAGTATGGTTGCCTTATCGGAAAACTGCTATAAATATTGATGAAATTCATTAATAATGCTGAATTTAGATATTAATTTATGCATTTAGGTTGACGTATAATTTTGATAATAATATTTCAAGTTCTAAAAATATCCGTAAATCACATTCGAATTAATTCCAAAAGCTGATAATTGATGAATAAATGAACATTGAAATATATGTCCGCTGTCTATTAATGATTAAAATGTATTTAATTGCAATGAACTATTTTAATCAGTATGAAGAATTAATATAACAACAAATTATTATTATTATAATTTTCTCCGAAAATTATTTAATTATTAAAGACTTAATTATTTCTATAATATTGTAACATTTATTATAACGTTTGTAAATGCTTTGAAAAAAATTTTCACTTGTTATTAACAATTCCTAAGCTGTGCACAAGATATTCATTTTTATTTATTTATTTAATCTGTTCCTTTTTCGGATTTAGATTTCCATTTATCTAGTAATTAGATATTAATTATCAAACGAGCTTAGATTTATTTTTGTTTATTGCCTCCGGTTAACATGAAACTCGGAATATTAATGAATCTTAAACAAATTAGCTGCAAATAGGTTCCAAACACTTGTTCTGAACTTGTTTTGTACGTCGACAGCATGGTGAATAATCGATCGCTGTTCTTATTTTCAATATTTCTATTTTGATCTCGTGTAACGCTCCGATAAAAGGTTCTTTATAAATACGAATCATGGATCGCGGGAAGATTAAATGAAAAACGTTTATACGTGAAACAACAGATTCCATTCGCGCCCGTATCAATACAGACTGCGTTGTATTTCACCTCTATACGTAGGATTGCGTAACCGCACGTAATATTGTACAACAGCAAGAATAGATTGGGTATAAAGGGTAAGTTTAGAATCAGAGGAATATAAAGCGAGTTAGTCGCTGCGACAATAAACATTGTACTTGAATACAAATGGGTGCAGCCACAATAGAAGAAATAAGGAATTAGGAATGAGAAATTTCAACCTATAATCGGATACAATACTTATTCCTTATTCTACTCTTATACTCGAGAATTTTTTAAATAATGTATGGAGATTACGTCTGAATTAAATAATGTATACGCGATATCATTATAATTTTGTATGTATTTTAATTAATTTTTTCGTACCATCTTATTTATTATTTCTCTATATGTATGCAGTATCTTTTTAATTCTGTTCTCTATATGTATATGTATGTATATAATCTATATAGATAAAAAAATGAAAAATATTCCAGATAGAATATTATTTATAAACACAAAAAAGATTATAAATACGATGGTGCAAGAAAAAAATGGGTTAATAATTTTTTATATTTATATGTCTAATAAAAATTATAGAAGATAATAAGAAACTAAACAATTTTATGTTTGGAAAATATTGAGCTCTAAAATATAAAGATGAAAATTAGAACATTTGTTATCAAATTTTTATAAGAACATATAAAGATCTATATTCTTGCAACTTCAGTCAAGAAATGGATAAAAACAATAATTTAAATAAGGTTTTTGATGTTATAATTAAAGCTTTTGAAATGGTTTTATACCTGGCTTAATGAATTATAATTGGTAAAATCTATTTTAGAAAATATGAGAATCGCTGTGTGAGATCGCTTGTTGTCACTGTAAAATAGGGGAATACGCGAAACAAATCTGACCTAATCAACTACTTATCTCCTCTCACCGCGATGACACGACGAACACGTGGTCTCGAGTCTGAACATAGATCGTACGTGGAAAAGGGCACGTACGCGTTTGCGTGTCGAATATATACGTGTGCGTCATACGCACGACATATAGACAGTTTCCGATTTTTATTGTGCTTCGGCGCTGAATAATTCAGGATGACTCGGTCAGTTCGCGCTCGACAACCTACGCAAACACGCAAATCAATTAGCCAAATGACATCGTTATTATCGATCGGATGGCAATTGCACGTTTCATTTGCGAGAGAAATGCGTGTTCTCATACAAATTAATTGCACACCCGTTACAGTTATTGCCGTTATCACAATTCTCTCGACGTGCATGTATAAGTATGTACATCCTTGTACATAAATGCTAATTAAAGGAAATTGCGGGTTAGTTTTCAAAATATTATTACTCGGTGCTTCCAAATACATTCCTTTTCGATCTCTAACATCTTATCAGTATAGATACAAATATTGCATGAATCATATATGATTGATATGATATCTTATTATTAAAAGCCTAAGTACTTCAAATCCATATCATTTGGCATTTTAAATCGTCTTAGTTATAGAGGTAACTCTAATACATTAAATTAAATTAAAGTAACTTGGAATTATTTGTAAAATAATATTTAATATGTAATATAAATAAAAACAAATTCTAATTTCAAATAACAGCGAGTATACTCTCATTAACCCTTATATTCTTGTTATTTGAAATTTTCGGGAGTCTACTTTAAATTCTAATTTTTTTATTTGATCGCATCATTTACAGTGCGAAGTTTGTTGGATAAAAATCATTATTTATCATCATTCATTACTTGCATGAATATCAAAAAATTAGCACTATAAATAATGAAGATAAATATTTAATAAAAAATCAGGGAAATATCAAGAAAATTGAAAATAGTCATTATAAAATTTTAAGATGTGGAATTTGTAACAAATATAATAGATTTTGATTTGGGGAGAAAATAAAAAATGAAGGATCTTCGATTCGATTAATAGGATTTCGATTATATCCTACTCACATGTGTTAAAGTAGTCTCGCGCGGAGTTCGTCATATTATAGCTTTCACCGTTCGCGCAATGAGCAAACGAATGACTTCTTCGACAAAGTGGATGCGCGAAATCTGTCGTTACGATGATTGCATTTCGTCGTGATTTCGTGACGAATGTTGGAATACAATCACTGGATGAAAGCCGGCGAATTGAAAAGCAAATCACGCGAGTAAAGACTGTAATTGTAAATAATGATGAATAGTTATTCGCTTATAGTAAATAATGATTTCGATTATTCGTCATTGCACGTTAATAAATTATCTAACGCCTTAGAAACAAATAATAGCTATTATAATGTTAATATAATAATTCTCGTTTGATGAAATATACGTATGGCGCATTTTTAGTAATTGCATTTTCAATAATAATAATTATTTTACAATACGTTCTAATAATATCTAATGGTGACTTCACGAACTTTTGCAAACTCTTGATGTAAAAACAAATTTTCTAATCTTGATGCCATTAATGCACACGATAAGACATGGGAAAATTTTATCTAGAAATTTTTCCCCATATATAATACATATAATCCAGAACATTATACGTTTTAAATAAAAGTATAAAAACAGTCTTTGGCCCTTTTCAACATACTTTTATTTAATTTGTATTATTTGAGTCATTCTATATTGTATATATTTTTTATTATACGTTTTTCTGGTCGTAGGTATCCGAGTGTTCCAAGTCGGAGGGTCCGTCGTTGTCGACCTCCCCCGGTTCCGACTTTCTCACCTCGCCGGCGCATCGGTCTGTGCCGCTGACCTCGCGGCACTTCTCGAGGACGTCCTCAAGGGCGTCGCAGAGCTCTCTCCAGAGTCCGAGCAAGAGCACGAGCACGTCGCCGCCGAAAACCGGTAGCTCAAATTCCCTCAACAAGTTCCATAATCGATTGGTGGATAAGTTGAAGCGTTCGTTGAAGAAGGCAGAAGATTGCGCGGAGGATCAACGGAACCTATCGTGAAACAGTCAAGGGGTTTTGGGCCGGCCACCCGCGTCCGGCTCGAAACCAATCGAGATCCGACGCACTTCGGCACCCGTTACCGTATCCGAGTCGAGCAGCAACGTGGCGGCGCGCTCGTGTCCGGATCCGCCTTCAGCTTGGTAAAGAAGAAAGAGAAAGGAGGAAGAAAGAGATGATAATGACGGAGGAAACGAGAGCAACGTGTGCGAATATGCGAGGGGAGAATAATCAAGAAAGAACAAAAATGCGTTGACGTATGAAGGAAGAGAAGGGAGTTCGCACGCGTTCAGCTCGAAAGCGAGCACGCTCAAGTTTGTTAGCCCAGCATGGAAGAGGAGGAGAACGATCCTTGAGCCGTTGTGTTCGGCTCGCTGGATGTCGACAGTCGATCGTATCAAGAATCTTCGCAGATCGAGAGACCTCGATCGAATGATCGGACGGTGTGGCGCAGCATTGGTGAGTGCTCGAGAGGACGAAGAGATACTTGGAACGTTTCTTTGGACCGCAACATTCTTAAGATGATACGCAGTTCCGCGACAACGCCGATATATAAAGCCAAAGCAATATCGATGACCAATAATAGCGCGAAGCTTTGATTTTACGTTCTCCTGGATAAATTTGAGAATCTGTTTAAGATGGCGTGAGAAAGAGCAAAAAAAGGAGCTGAGAGGACAATGGGATCACAGCCGATCAGTCGATCGATGTTGACCGAGGAGATTTCAAGGAATCATCGAAGATCATCGAAAGTCAAAGGACAATCGTGAGGGATGGAGGAGTCGACGACGGAGGAAGTGAGGTATATAATGATAAAAACAGGATTACAATATCGAGATCTCGCATGAATCGCGAGATATCTCGCACGTTGAATGTCGTGGACTCGTTGTCGGTCGGAATAGTCACTTGAGTTGCCAGACCTAAATGTTTAAGTTCCTTCATCGCACGCGATTTCTCGTACGCGTTGCGCTCTATACGTTGTTTTTTTCCTAACGTAGGACGATCGGGAACGAAGATCGAAGAGAGAAAGACATTCAACGGGCGCAAAGGTGTTTCCGTGGAGAGAAAGTAATTACTTGAGGAATGTTATGAAGATGCCCGAAAGAAATTTGATATACAATTTGATATCAATTAATATAAAAATCATTTTTTGATTTCTTAAATGTTTCTCTAAATTTTCTAACTTTTTCAACATTTTTCAAATATCTTTAGACATCCTTTTGGATGCCTAAATGATGCGTTTATTTAGCGGGCGCGAAGACTTCCGGTTTCTGTAGAGAAAAAATAATACTTGAAGGACGACATGAAGATGTCTGAAAGAATCTGATATAAAATCTGATATAATCTGACATAAAAACTCAAAAACATCAAAATAGTGTTTTATGTTTAAATTGTTTTTCTAAATGTCTCAATCTTTCCGGCATCTTTCGAGTATCTTTCAAACAGCCTCTTGATGCGTTTATTATTTTTTTGCCAAATTATCTCCGCGTGAAACACGTTAACCGTGGAAATAGAAGCGCGTTTATCCACAATTGTAACATCCAATTAACTTTCTCGCAACCTAGACTGAAAAGCGTTCTCTAATCAGAACGTCACGCAAAAGCGTTTTAAGATAGAGACTCATACTCTTTGCGCGTTAAGAGCGACTCTGTTCTCGGTTCTGATTGCGTTATTTATTTGCTTAATTAATACGTGAAGTATATATGTATATATATTCGACATGAAATGAGGACAGAATCGGCGCGAGATGCGCGGCGAGAAATACGGGCCAACGTGCAAAGAGAGAGTCGCTAGCGTAAGAAGCGCTGCGAAAATGTCGTTTTTATCGTAGTGTCAAACAGTGGCGAGGCTCATTCGTTGTTGTTCGGATTAGGTTCGAGTTTGCGTGCCGGAAGCAGCAACGGCAGTTTCTCGCCTTTGCGGGATCGGATTTCGTCGTGCAGAGGAAGGATACTGCGCGTATATGTGCGTGTAATTCAGGGCCGCGTATGAATGTGCGCAACTTACGTGCTCACTTCGGGTCACCGAGCGTGCGAAGCCTAAGAGACTCGATTTATTTTCACGTACATATTCCTATTCAACGTCGCAAATTTATGTATTGTTGTAATTATACTTACGTATCCTTGTAAGCGCGTTCGCGGACTCGTTTTCCGCGCTCCCCTTCAGGAAGCCTTCCTGGAATACAATCGTGGCGGAATATAATACGAAGAACATTTTTCTCTTAGAACTGATGCGTCAAGTAATGTGCTTTGATATCTGAAAAATAGCTTCGGAGTGCTGAAAAATTCAAACACCATCGCGGAAAAGATTTTATCCTGGAATGTCGCTTGTGAGTGAATTTTTATTCAGTGCTATTTTAAAAGTACGATTTTTATTATTAAAATATTAATATTAAATTTTGAAATAACATTTAATAAAATTGTTTAACATTAAAGTTCTCTTTTTTACAAAAATAATTCAGTTTTTCTCTATTTATTACAATCTACGTAAAATATTCTAGATAAACAAAGTGTAAAAAGTTCTTAATTATAGTATAAGTAAATTTTCATTTGGAATAGTGTTAACGTAAGAAAAACTTTCCAGGATTAAGAAAAATTGCATTCTGCGAATCTAAATGACTCAAGTATTTTTATTATAGTCTTTCTTTATATTTTATCAAATGTTAAAACTTTCTTAACTTCTCGCGACTGTTTTTCAAGAAAATCAGAAACTTATCGAATAATTACTGACGCATATCAGCTTATCGAACGATATATTGCTGTTTCCTCCGTGTTGTATCGCGTACGATACGATAACGTTATAAAGTTACACGGCGCGGCCTATATGGGGAAGCATGACAGATGCATCCGGTACCATTAATGATGCATTCCGCGGTGTACGCGTGTCGCATTGTAAAAGGCGCGATTTGCGAGCGCTGTCGTTCCATAGACTTCTGCTTGTCTCAAATCGCGCGCGGGTTGGACGAAAATATTTTTTTAAACAAATTTTCGCCACTCGTCGCATGCCATCGAAAATGTAGACAACGTTTTCCCCCCCGAGATATTTCTCGCGCGCCCGATTTATTCGTATTTGTTGTTTCGCGTCGTCGCTACAAAGCGCTTGTTAATTTTTTCACATGTAATATATAATATATATATATCTATATAGTGTATTGTTTCGCGTTACAAGTCGAGTCGGTTGGAGGGAGGAAGGTGCGGGAAGAAACGTACGCTCTTTGCAGATCGCACGTGTAAAGGACTTCGAGTGTTACAAAGAAAGAGCGCTAACTTTACCATGAGAGGTATATCTCCCCTTTTCTTCGAAACATCATTCCGATGATATTTTTTTATATAACTGGTAATTAGGAAAAGTGTTGTTTCTTCTGCGTGAGTCAATTAATTCTTGTGATCGTTGGGGTCAATTTGAAAAAGTTTAAGATTATGTACGTATCTCTAACAAGTAAGTTATAAGTTCTTAATTCGAAATTTGATCTGCTATCTGCTTGAAGTTCAAGATATTTAATGATAAAACATGAATAAAGTCAAGAGTGATAAGTTTTTTCAGTTTAAAATACAACAGATATTGAGTAAACAATATCAATTTTTCAACAAAATTATATGAAAATTAATTCAGTTTTTCAGTGATTAAACAATAAATTTAAAACAAATAAATTGAAGATTTCAAGGACTCTTTTATATAATAATAATTAATACGTTAAACAGGGCGAATAAGAGTCAAATTACAATTTAAAATCTAAATCTGATAATTTATTCTAATATTATATATTGCGAAGAATATCACGTAATTTTTGGCGTTTCGTCCCGACTTCCACTACTGGACTCATCAGTAAGGCATTGTAGTGGAAGCCTATCTTATACGCCTTGGTAAATAAATTTAAATTAATTTCTTTGTAAAATCATAATTAACACTCGATGTTCTTCGCGTCCGTTGATAGATGCTCGATTTTTCCCCGCGATGGACATAATTTGCATGCTTTCTTTCTATCGGTTACGTATCGGCGATTACGAACTGGGAGCAATTAAGCGATGCCGCGTGTAACTCTGTGATACCGTAAGCTATAAGGTAGAATTACTCTGCAACGATTAAGGGGACTAGAGGGCGGATATAGTTAGGACGAGATTCGTACGAACGCTTCGATTCTTCATCGGTCATGGACTCGCGTTCTTTGAAAGTCAAAATGAGGAATTCTCTTTTGCTTGGGCTAAACAACACGAGGATGCTCCAATTAAGGAAAAAATCTCCGATAAATGTTTTTCCTCGAGAAAGACAAAAAGAGCGTTGCTTTCGGATTTTTACGAGAAAGACGAAGGAATTCTGGCACACGAACATTTGAAGTCGTTTACGTCCGTCTTAACATGTACATAATATTAAGAGTCTGAAAGCGCCCATCGATTACATTTGTCTGAAAGAAAATATTGTGAAAGTTAATTTTCAGAATTGCAAAACAGATTACAAAAGTAACATCTGCTCGGCATAGAAGCCGACTTAATTCGATTTGCTAAAAGAAGTGAAATCCTGTAAGTTCATTATAATGTAAGAAAGAGCAGATTAACATACATCGATTCGCGCTTTCGGACTCACGTCAGATTTAAGAGAAAGTTTAGTCGGTAGACGTCACGCGGAAAATTTTGAAAATTTGCGTAGCTCAACCTGCTTTCTCTCTTTGGGTGCTGACAGCAGGGGGATGAAGATGAAGAAAAGGGGGAGGGGGAGAGAGAGAGAGAAAGAGTGAGGGGGAGACAAGGAAAAGAAAAGAGGGAGGATTGTTTACGAACCGAACGTTGCTTGGTGCGGTAAAGCAGATTAGCGAATCATTTTGCGTATGGAAAAGCGAATAATTTCCAAAAGTTGCCGCTTTATGTAAGACTGCTTTAGTGAAACAAAAAAACGCAGAGATAAAAGTATAAATATCGATAAATATAGGGTGGTGCTGGTCGAAACGTTGGGACACGCGATGTTCGACAGAATCATATTAAATCTAATTCATACTTATATATTGCAGATATATTATATATAATATATTTATATATAATAATATTATGCCTTCTCCGCGGAGTAATTCCCGTATGTCACATTAAGTTCACACTAATAATTGAATTAGAAGCCACTAATTTTTAGTTTAGCCACGAATTTTTGACACTTGGATCTACTGTGACAAATTTGACGACAGCTGACTCTATTGATTATACGATTTTATATTGACGCATTTTTTTCGAGACTGCTATTAATGCTAACTGGACACCGCGATTCGACTAACGCGCGTTCTCAACGTTTCATCGATTGATTCGTACTGATTAGAAAAAAATGGTGTTATTAGAATTTAGAAATTGACGATATAAAATATATACGCGATCTTATTCATATTATGGCGGCCTCGGACCGCGGAGTAAACGTGGATTGGGACTTTTCTTTGCTTTTTCTTAACGAAATATGTATTGAACTTCATATTTAATCATATCAAACGTTCCTGTACGTATCTTCACTTTATTTCACGTCTTTATTTATCGAAAGGGACATATTTTTGTAACGCTGCAATTTCTCGATCCACTTTCATTCTACGGTCGCAATGCGATTGCAAAGCTATACACATGCAGAGATATATGTATACATATATATATATATATATAATAGATATATATAAAATAAATAATATATATGCATGCATACGCGTAATATATGTATATGTATATATTATTTGTTACGCGACGACTTGACTATTTTTTGTATTATACTACTACTGTTTTATGGTTATTTGTTATACTTCACTCGGGACATTTTGAGCGGATTTTTATTGCGTGTTTGAGGAGAAGTGCCAAAAACCTTTGCAAGTTTACAGAACGAGAAACGTTTCCCTGCATCTTTTCCTTTCTCTTTGCTTGCAGCATTAATTCTTTCAGCAAAAATTAACATGATATTAAAATTGCCTTATGGAAATTATACTTTTGACAATAAACACACAATACGGGAACAGAAAAGGATTATTAATTTCCACTGACAATCAAATTTAAATAAACTATAGTTCTAGAGCACTTCATTGAACAAAAATTCGCTTCGTGAAAAAAAAGTAGATGCTTCTCGTAAAAAAAAGTTTCTCGTAAAAGTGATACTTGTCGTTACTTTGACGAAGTCCAACATCGTCACTGATCGATTAGGTACTATCTCCTCAGTCACGACGATTGAATATCACTACCAAAAGCCCACGATTAAAAAGCAAGAAAAAAAAAAGTAGCGTAGAGCGGCGAGGCCCGATTGGATCCTCCATTCACGTGGCGACGCACTCGGATTAAGCCGTCTCATATTCTCACTTTCCACTCATACACTATCTCTCAAGTCTACATTAACATATTTATTTTTCGACGGATAGCAACTTTCATCGTAGAGCAAATCCGTTCACTCCTTTTTTTTTTTTTTAGGATTTTAGCGCCGACGACGATACCGATTTACCAATGATCGATTAAGATCTCGGAGTCTGTTCGATTTTCTCTCCGAGTTTTTCCGTAACATACAGTGGAATAATTGTAAAACAGAACGATACAAAGAGGAGACTTATAAACGGATTAATATTTACGAAACGTATTCTAGTATTTTTTTTCAGATAAATAAAAATAAGTTTTGATATAAGTTAGAATACAGAATTATAACGATGATTATAACACTGCGGTGATTCTTGCACGTGTGTAAGTACACCCGTGTATAAATCGGAAATCAATAACTCTGTTTTTTTGCCGTTTATTGATTTAAATCTTATTATCGGCTTTATTATTAACACTGTTTGTCTCTCGATAAGGCTCCTTTTGTAGAACATCTGTTCTCTGTGAAGTGTAAGTTTTTAATTATGATTTACTAGAGAAAGATTTACCTAATTGTGAGAGGAAATGTTGCCATGATATTG